TCTGTTTTAATTTCATGAAAATGTTACCCATGTTAGTCCATTAACAACAATATGACCTACTGGGTTACATTTAGAAAAACCACTTTTCAAAGTACCTTAAAGAAGGAATAAATAAATTATGTGGGGTGATGAATGTGTTAATTAATTTGATTGTGGTAATCATTTCACGATGTATACATATATTAAACCATCACATTATACACCTTTTTTAAAAGATCATGTTGTATAACTAAATAGATATACTTTTTATGTGTCAATAACACCTCAATAAAGCTAAGGGGGGAAAAAATGAAAAAAATAACACAATCATTTCATACTTACGAAGTGCCTGACAGCAAAAATGGAATGCGAACACCATCCACCACCACCACATTTCTTATATTGGTTTTGGTTAAGGTTTTCTTCGATTTGGTCTGGGCAGCTTTAAGACAAAGTTCAAATAAGTTAGTTAAAATATATGAAGTCAGATGACTTTTTACATTTTTACAGACAGACATTCTAAGAAGAATTACATCATTCAATGACAAGTTCTTTTTGTCATTTACCAAACCACTTCAATATATATTTTTTCAAAAAGGCTAAGAAACTGACCAGCATTTACAAGTTTCCAAATAATATTTAAGGTAAATACAGAGATTATATCTAATGGTGAGGATATTTATGCCATTAATAAAATTGTTTCTTTTAATCGAGAGTTTGACAATCACACTAAAAGCAACCAATTTGACACATAAGTCTGTCCTTAGGAATCTAAGCAAAGAAGCAAAGAGAAACGCCAATTAGTTGAAGCTGAAAGGATGCCATGAGGAGGAACCAAGTTTTTGCTGCCCCATAACTCTGGTTTACAAATGACTTTAGTTTACTAGTCTGTCTTAAAGCTGATCATGGACTGTGGTACCTAGGTTCAAATTAACTGAAACATTAATTCTATTCTGTTTAGATTGTTTTGATGTTCATATTTTGAACAGTCACTCACTTAACAACATGCTAGGAATGTTAGGCATCTACTAAAATAATGAGACTCTGTCAGGTTAACAAAACCAGAATTACTAGTGTTTTAGACAAAGAAAGAAACTAAAGCACCGGAAAGTAAAGTGACCAGTTGAAGGCCACACTGCTCAGAAAGAGGTATAATTGAAACAGAGTAGAGGTCTTCTGAATACTGGTAAGGTGCATTTTCTATCAAGTTATTATCCAAGTAGAAATACCATAATAAAACCCAAATCAGAAGTCATAGGCCAATACAGGACCTAGCACGGAGATAACAGTATGAACTTGTCAGGGTGTTTTTAGCACTAGCCACTGAAGATACACACCTACCTGCATCAGGTTCTGCAAAAGTGTGTATTCAACAGTGAAAAAGTCTAATTCACTGGATTTACCGAGGGTCTAAAATACCACATAAAAATCAACACATTTCCTTACTTTTTCATTTTATATTGACCAAACAACCTTCTTTTACTACCCAGTTCCCTAGTCACCCTTATTTCAGGAATGGGTCCTGTTGTATATGGGACAGAAAGACATTCATTAATACAGAAGCCTAAATCTAACTGCAGATTTAAAATGTTAACTTTCGGCAACAAAACAGTCTTAAGAGTGTAAACTAATCATCTCCAGGCCTGACAGCCAGCAGGTGAATAACCGAGCAGCAAGGTTCACGGAGCCTTCATGACTCCACCAGACCCCAAATCCCAGAAAGCAGCCTCCTGTTCACACCCTCGAGCCCAACCCTACACGATGTAATACCACTACTGATTGGCCTTACGTTATTTTAATCTGAAAGCAATAGTGATGTTCATGTTGCTCATAAAAGGGGGAAACTTAGCAAATTAGTTTTGGTTTTCATTCAGAATTCACAAATCTAGAATCTAACATTTAAATCAGAAATGCTTATTTTACAAATTACTGTACCTGGGGCAGCTCGTAGCTGGGAGGAACAGCTCAGGGGTCTTACATCTGGAAGATAAAATAAAGTTTACAAAAAGCAATACAATTCAATGTCTGTGTAAAATGCTTATAAATCCAAATGTAGTGTTAAAAAAGAAAGAACAAATTAAACTTACAAAGTCCGAGGGCCCATTTTGATGTACTGGGAAGATTTTTAAAAGTGTAAGTCAAGATGGAAGCCATTCTGAAATCTAAAAAGGAAAGAACAAAAATATATCCTGTGTTATCTGAACAATCTGTAGCTTATATTGTAGCCTATGATCTCTGATAACCTCATCCATGGCTACTATGAAATACTGTAAAATGTAATCTATTACCAACTATTCTCCTCTAATAATAATAATATAACTACATTGACATAGCTTTCATAGTATGCAAATCACTATTGTAACATCATCTTATCCAATCTTCAATGACCTATGGAGTTGGCATGATTATTACACCCTCTGTAAGAGATGTGAAAACTGAGGCATACAGGGATTCAGTCACTTGCCCAAAGATCCACCGTTAGTAAGAGGCAGAGATGGAATTTGAAGCCGGACAGTCTAGCTCAAGTTTACGCTTTTCTCTAGAGCCAAAGGAGTAGAGACATTACTGGGCATGATCATGAAGCCACCAGTGTTCATTTCCTGATTTTGAAGTTTGTACTGTGATTTTGTGGAATGTTTGTATTTGAAGGGAATACACACTGAAGTATTCAAGGACAGTGCAGTAGAATGTCAGCAACTTACTTTCAACTGCTCTAAGAAAAAAAAAGTTCATGTACTGCACTTACTACTTTTTTATAAGCTTGATATTGTCTCAAAATAATAAAAAATATTAAAACCCTATACATTAAAAATATTTAAAATATATTAACCATTTCCCTACATTTCTAAAAATGAATTCCTACAATCAGTAAAAAAAGAAATGGGCAAAGGATATGAACAATCTATTCACAAAAATGGAAGTACAAATAGCTCTTAGATACATGAAAAGATGTTCAATCTCATTCATAAGAGAAATATAAATTAAAACCACACAGAGATACACTATTTGACCTGTCAAATGGACAAAGACTCCAAGGTTTGATATATATTGTGTGGTAAGATTATACACAAATAGGCACTCTCATATACTGTATAAATTTGTGCGATCCCTACGGAAAGTAATCTGGGTATTAACTGTCAAAACTGCAACTGCACCTAACTTCTGATCCAGCCATTCCACTTCCATGTTTTTACTTCATGTATGTTACTTACACACATGTGACAAGACCTATGTTATCACTATCTATAATAGTAAAAGATTGTAACAAATAAGGAATTGGCTAAGTAAACCATGCGACGACCACCTGATAAAATATTATCCAGCTAAAAAGACAGGGAAGTTATGTACGAATATGGTGCCATTTCTAACCTGTATTAAGTAAAAAAAGCAAGGTGCAAAATAGTGTGTACAGCTGCTATCATTCGTGTTAAAGAGAAGAAAAATAATTAATATACACATATCCTTGTATCTGTATAAAATATCCTTGAAAGTAGAAATAAAATGTCAAAAATAAAGACTGGCAAGAATGAAGGAAACTGAGTAACTAGGGGACCGAGTATAAGGAAGGCTTGTCATTGTACTTTTGTACTTTTCTCAATTTTGAAACATGTTTTAACTTAAAAAAAAAAAAAAAGATAAGAATGAATGGACAAGATTTGCCTATGAAGGCTGTGGAAGCCAGCCTCTGAGATAGCCAATAAAATCATCTCCACCTTTTGGAATTCCTACCCTCCCACAGTTGGTCTGTGTAAACAGAATATGTCAGCAGTGTTGGTATGCCACTTCTGAGATTAGGCTATAAGAAAGACTGCAACTGCAGTCTTGGCCTCTCTCTTAGATGACGCACTCCGAATGGAGGAAGCCAGCTGGCTCATCTCCCCTAGAGCCAGCCCTATGAAGAGGCTCACATGGTGAGGAACTGCTGCCACCTGCCAACAGCCATGTGAGTGAGCTGGGAAGTAAATCCTCTAGTGCAGCAAGCTTTCAGATGATGATAGCCCTGGCCAACATTCTGACTACAGCCTCATGAGAAACTCGAAGTTAGAACAACACAGCTAAGTCACCCCAGAAACAGTATGAGATAATAAATTTTTAATGTTTTAAACTGCTACAGTTTGGGATCATTTGTCTCACAAATACAATAGATAATACAAAAGCCTTGTTTAACTTCTCTTGGGTAAAAAGAGGATGTCCCATGGCTTCAAAAAGAAAAGAAAAAAAAATCACATTTTTCCGAATACGTGGATTGGAAAGAGATGAAGGAATTTAGGCTCACCAGCCCAGGGATATTCAAGGGATTCTCTGGCCAGGGAACACCCCTGGCCCATGAGATAGGCAACCACTATTTCCAGAAGCTACATACTCGTATGATGCCACATGAGTCTGGGATATAAGCTTCCTTAAGTAAAGTTCATCATGAAATAAAATTCACAAAAATAGTCAAGAAAATGTTGACAAAGAAAAAGGGAGACCTTGCTCTAATAGATATGAAAACTTACTATACAACACCAGTAATTAGGCGGTGCAATTATGGCACAGAAATAAATGAAACGACAACAGAACAGGATGTAACAAGTTCAGAAGCATACTCACTCATGTGTATGAGAATTCCATATATAATAAAAATAACATTTCAAATAAGAGAGAGAAAGATGAATTATTCAATAGATTTGTTGGGGAAATGGCTAACCATTTGCAAAAAAAAATTAGGTTCACAACACACACCATAAGTACAAATAAATTCCAGATGGATTAATCCAAATATATATATTTTGAACTATAAAAATACTAGAAGAGGATATCAAAATATTTTCTATAATCTTAGATGGGGAAAGGTTTCCAACATATGGCACACAACCCAGAGGCCATAATGGAAAAAGAACTACTAATGGATCTTATTAGATACACATTTACAATATCTAACAGCAAAAGATACTAAAATAAGTTAAAAGGCAAACAACAGATTCAGAGAAAATGTTCAACCTAAAAATAAAAACTATTGTAATTAAAGCAAGGTATCATTTTGGGCTTATTGGATTGGAAAAAATTAAAAACATGGTTAATATACAATTCTAGTAAGAATGGATCTATTTAGGCATTTCTACATACAGTTGATAGAAGTGTAAATTGCTAAGGCCTTTTTTGAAGGCAATTTTCAGTTACCTATTTAAATTTGAATTGTGAATTTCTAAGCCCAGTAATTTTTCTTACTGGTTTTTAACTGATAGAAATATTCAAGATGTGTGTGTAGCATACATTGATCTCTAGCCTATAGTAATACTTGAATGTTCATTCTAGCATTGTTTGCATTCGTGGAAAACTGAAATTAATCTAAATAAATGCACATCCGTAGACAATGGTCAAATAAGTTATATTACAAACATACTGTGGACTGTGCAGCAGTTTGGAAAGAAAAATGAAACATCATGACATACACGTATAGATTACATGGAAAGATATCCACAATACACTATATTAAATGAAAAAGCAAGCTGCAAGAGTTTGTATAGTAAGACTCCATATGGAGAGGGAAGGAGGAAGGGAGGGAGAGAAAGAAAGAGAGAAAAAGAGAGAGAGAGAGAGAGAGAGAGAGAGAGAGAGAGAGAGAGAGAAGTCCATAAAGCTAAGTCTATATATGAAAGGGATAAAGAAGGGCTTTCATTTTATATTCTTCTGTCTTCTTAAATTTTTCTTATAATGAGCATTTTATTTTTTACGTACAGTATAATTCTAGTTTTATTTAAAATCTACATATATTAATATTTATATAGATATATAAAAATATACAAATGCATAAAAATGTTCAGAAAAACACATAGCAAAATGTTAATAGTAGTTATCTCTGGGTGGTAGAATTATAGGTATACTTTTTAGACTTATCTGTAGTTTCTGAAAAAAATTACTAGAACATATATTCCACCAATAATTAATGAAAAAATAGGGAGAAATTTCAAAAGAGGGACTAAACAAACGACCCTATGGGAGGGTTGACCCTTACTGTCACAGGCTCTAAGCTTTAGGAAATAGACATTTTTGACTCAAGGATTTGGGGAGCATGGATACTCTACTGTAAGACAGGCTTGAATAGAATGTGGAACTTTGGAAAGATGCACAAAGTTACGGGTACTTGAGAACACGAAAAAGGGGGACTAAAGGGACTTCGCAAGTAATGAAAACAAGATGGATTAGCTCCAACAGTTCATGATTACAACATCATTAAGACACAACATAAAGGTTAAGAGCACAGTCTCTAAAGCCAGACTGTCTAAATCCAAATCCTAGCTCCACCCTAGTTGTATGACCTTCAAGTTACCTAACCTTTCTGTTTTAGGATTAAGATATAGATCATTCATCTGTAAAACGAATCTGTAAGATACAGCTAATTCCATTACCTACCTCAAAGGGTTGTTGTGAGGAATAACTAAATACACACACACACACACACACACACACACACACACACACACACAGCACTTAAGTAAAAAGTTTAAATAAAAAAATTATTGGGCCGGCCGAGTGGCGCGATGGTTAAGAACTGGCTTGGGATGCCAGAGGGCCAGTGACACTCCCCTTCACAGCTAAGATGCTGAACAACAGCTCAACCTGGAGCTGGGCTGCCGAGAGTCACCAGCGACGGCGTAGGCTGCAGCCCCTGTGGCAGTGGGTTGCCATGGGCTACTGTGTGTAGCCAGCAGCCAGCGTGAGCGGCCAGCAGCCGCCGTGAGTGGCCATCCAAAAACCGGCGACGGATGTGCCTCGCCCGGGAAGAGCGCAATGATGGTGCCAACTTGGGCCAGTGAAGCAACGTCCTCCACAACTAGACTGAAGAACAAAAGGACAGCAATTTGTCTGTTCATCTTCCCCCAATTCCCCAGGGCTGTTCCCATCCCCCCCCCCAATTCCCCAATTAAAAAAAAATATTTAAAAAAACTTATTACAGTAAAGGACACATTGCCATTAATCCCCCTCAAAAATATTCCCCCTCACTTCAAACACACTTATCCCATCATTCTTGCCACTTTCTGAAGCAGTCCTGGAAGTCCTCTTTCGTGAGTGTCTTTAGTTGCGCTGTCATGGCTGCCTCGATGTCCTGAATAGATTCAAAACATTTACTGTTCATGGTCATTTTGACTTTGGGGAAGAGCCGGAAGTTGCACGGTGCCAGATCTGGTGAACAAGGTGGATGAGGACCCACCGTAATGTTTTTATTTGACTGAAATCGCCATATACCAGAAGCGATGTGTAACACGGAGCATTGTCATAATGGAGGATGATTTACGGCACACTTTAAAACACACCTTCTCTCAACTGTAGCTCACCGCAGGTGACACTTGTCACACACTGTCACACACTGTTACCAAGGTTCGACGCAAGGCTTCCCATATTGAAAATCCCTGCCTTTCCGTTGGATGGCACTCAGCAGCAGCATTCACTATAATCCGTGTCACACATCGCTTCTGTTACAGCAGTTTCTGTCAAATAAAAACATTATGGTGTATCCTCATCCATCTTATTCACCGGATCTGGCACACTGCGACTTCTGGCTCTTCCCCAAAGTCAAAATGACCACGAAAGGTAAACGTTTTGAATCGATTCAGGACACCAAGGCGGCCAGCCACAAACAGCGCAACTAAAGACACTCTAGTCCTATTTCTACCACCTGTGGCCATGAGTCAACTCACTCACTGATTCATGGGCTTCAGTTTCCTCACGGATAAGGTGAAGGGGATGAATGACCAGGTGAATGGCCAGGTCCCTTCCGGGTTAGAAAAGTCTCAGAAGCACTGGGTCTCCGAACAGGATGGAGGAACGTCTCCTCCGCCCACACTCGAGGCCCGAGAGGGAGAGGTCACAGGGCCGAGTCCCACCCTTGGTAGCAGGAATCGGGGTAAACCCGTGGGCCCGTCCTGAATCTCTTTAGCCGCTGACCTGACTCCTAGCAAAACAAGTTAAACAACAAACAACAGCAAACACACACACGCGCGCGCTAACAGTTCGTTCACTTGCGGTGATAAAAGACACAGGTGGACGCTACAGACACAACGGCAGCCGAGTCACTTCACCAATTTCTTTGGCATTGGGAGACCTTGTCCATACAGCTTCCTTCATCTCCATCGAACTCCACTCCCCTAGGGAGGGGAGGCAGCCGCAGGCAGTGGGGCAGTACGTGCGAAACCAGTGCACAAGTCAAGCCGAGGGAGAAAGGCCAGGAGGAAAGCAGAGCGCAAGCACAGCCTCACCTGCGTTCGCGTCCGCTCAGGCTCCGGCTGCTCGCAAAGGTTACGACTCGAGCGCCAAGCAAGACTCGACTGGCCCAAGGGGCGGGTCCTGCCGGGAAAGCGCCCCCCACGTCGCTCGAGGCTTACGCAGGCTTCGCCGGCCCTGCGGCTGCCCACGGGCCGCCTGACTGGAAAACCCGGCTCTGAGCCCCTCCTCGACGGGCCCCCTTCCTTCCAGCGCTGAAGGAGTCCTTTCCGCCCCGTTAGCCGGAAGCGAAGGGCGGGGTTAAGGGGCTGGCAGCTGCTCAACATCGGGGGTTTTAGTCAGGCAGTACGTCGGGCTCCTGTCTGGGGCCAGGCCGCGGGAAGAAAAGTCTTCGGGTGGGCCGCCGGCACTACAAGCGCTTTCCACTTTCGTCCTCTTGTGATCAAGATGGTGGCCTCCCGGGCAATTGGCAGCCTCAGCCGCTTCACTGCCTCCAGGACACTCCGCTGCCCAGGTGAGGCCTGGCTGAGGGCACCCCGGAGCCCCTGGCACAACTCCTGCGGAGACTGGGGTGACCTCGGACCCGCGTCTCCCACTTGCTGCCACCTTCCTGTCCCCGCCCGGGGCCCCAGCCCTGGATCAGGGGGGAGAGATGCTGCCCTGAGACCCGTGTCCTTGTGAAGGCACTGTCACTTCCTCTCTCACGACTCCCGAGTCCTGCAGCGATTTCAGGCGCCCTAATTCCTAACATTTCTGAGTCCTGTCCACCGGCCTGGCACTTTCCGCTAGTCTTCCCGTCTCACTTCTGGGCTCACGCCCCTCTTACTTTCTTTAATGATGGCCTCGGACCTGTCCCTACTAGATCGGGAGTTCCAGAACTGGGACAGTACAGTCTGTCACATCTTTGTGGCTTCGCGGCAACTTGCCCGTAACAGAGCTAGCTATCTTAAAGCTTCTTGGATGAAATTAACCCGTCTTGTAAATTATTGCCACTGCCTGCTCCTTTCCCTCAAAACCAGTTTTTACCACATTTTTTAATACGGGGCTCAACTCTTGCTGTTCGAGTGATTCCAGTGTGAACATATAGTAATATGTTGAATTTCAAGGGGAGGTTCTGCATCTTGCTCCAAGAAACGTTCTTAAAAATACGCAAACGTGTGTATCTTCAGGAATGAAATGTTAGATGATTTTAAGAACTATTTCTGATCTTGTTCCTGACGACACCCAGTTAGCTTGCATTAGCTATATTATATTTTAATCCTCAAACTGGCCGTGAAAGTGGGTGATTGTGGAAAATTAAGTCTTTTCCTCCCATCTAAAATCTATAAGGTGAAATGTGACTTTTTTATTGCATGTTGTCCTTAACACCGGTTACTTAATTAGAAATTTAATTTGTAATATATCCTGCACCACTGATTTTATGCTGAATTTAGACAGGTAGCTGGAGTCTCTCTTTAGGAGATTAATTTTGAATAATTCTTTTTCTGCTTTCTTATTTCAACCACTGTTTTTAGTTTCCATGGCATTGCTCTGTGTGTGTGTGTGTGTGTGTGTGTGTGTGTGCCAACCCTATCACAAAAAATTGAAATGTTGTAAAGATTGAGGAAAGGGATTAAGAGAAAAGAATCACCCATTCTCTTACTACTCAACATGTTACCTTACAGTTTGTTTTGTTTCCTGTTCTCTGCATTTATGGTTTAATACTTTAGAAAAATCAGATGTATATTTTTGAACTTGAACCTGCACTGGTTTTAAGGTACTTCTTATGGAGTAGCAGCTGGTGTAATACTGAGTTGATAGTCAGGTCATGTGGTTTCTAGTCACTAACTGTGTGACTTTGGACAGATACCTTAACTGGGTTTTATTTTCCTCAATAGTACAATGAATGATTGAGACTATGACTTGACTTTGAAATGAGAAATAGTATGACAGAGCAATTAGGAACACTAGATTTGGAGTCAGACTTCTGGGTTTGAATCTGGTTCTGCCTTTTACCCTCTGGTGACCTTGAGCAATTAATTTCCATGTCTGTTCTCATTTATGAAATGGAGAATAAGCCCACCTTGTGAGTTTTAAAGGAATTATTTATAGCAGATTTTCATGGAGTAAGTGCTCGGTAAATGTTAGCTATTACTAACTCCTGCCCCGAAGAATTATGATTCTGTATATCTCAGAATTTTTAAAAGTAATTTTTACATTTTATCCATGTAATTAAAAGTTACAAGCTTAGTTTTTCTATTTTTTTATATTGAAATATATACAAATTTATCTATATATTGCATTATGTTTTCACCAGTAAGAAAATATAGCTCATTATAGTTATTGCCCCTTCTAATAGTAATTTATACATTTTGAAAAAAAATGTCTAGAAAGTGAATTTAAAATTACTTGCATGCCAGTATTGCCATTTATTTATTTATTTATTTATTTATTTATTTATTTATTTATTTATTTAATTCAAGTTGACGTTCAATATTTTATATTAGTTTCAGGTGTACAGCATGGTGGTTAGGCATTTACAAAGTAAAGCAGGATTGCCATTTAGACTCAACAGATTGGTCCTTCACCCTGAAGTTTGGTTCTAAGGCATTGCCAAACATCTAATGAGATTATGACATTTACTGGTAGATGATTAAATTCTCTTGAAACCAATTTCTAATTCTTGAAGTTTTCGCCCATTCTTCCTCTACAAGTGCTAAATTCTGAGTATGACTGTCAAATGAAACTCATATCTTGACCAAAATATCTTAATTTCCACTCCTACCCTAAATCTAAATTCCTAATTATGTAAGTGGTAAAATAATTTTGTAGGAAATGGGCTAGAGGCAAATACTTTAGAAGATGGTGTATATTTAAATTTAACTCTCACTTCCTTAATCCTATCCCTTCCTTGATCCTAGCCTTTTGAATATTGAGAACTGTTGACTGTTACAACGAAAGTAACATTTTCCTATTTGCAATTTGTGTCAGCATAATCTAACTCTCTCTACAGCTGTAGAGTTAGGTCTCCTAGGTATCTTCTTGAGTTCAGTTATTAAAGTGATATAAGAAGTGGGAGAAAGGTTTCTCTTTCTTTTTCTGGCACCATAGATATAGGTTAAAGTTCACCCAGCTGCTCCAGCATGAGTGCTGCCGATTAGTTAGTAGGTAAGGCTAGATTCCAAAAGCAAAGCTACGTTGTACTCCAACTCGATTTAGTTGACTGAAGTTTGGAATTCTTTTTCAGATATGTTTGTACATGTACTGATTTTTCTCTTTGTTTTTTGCCTCCCTCTATTTAGAGCAGGTTTTGTGTGTGCATATGGGTGTGTGCAGCAAAGGTAGGTTAGTGGGTAAGAGTTTACAATGGCTTAATCTATAAGCTAAACCAATCTGTTTTCTCAAGTATTTGGTTTTGAAATTGCAACATACTTATGTATATATTATGTTTCTTTTGTTTGTTTGGTTTTCTTTGTCAGTTTTTCCACCCCATCTCCCCACCACTCTGTATTCCCAATCAGTCCATTCCCACTTGAACACTCTTTACCCAGTTTCAGCTATAATAGAATTGCCCATTCCCTGGCTTCCCTCCCACTGGACTTTCTACTTTACAGGCAAACTTCTTTTTATGCCAGGCCTACTTTCACCTCTCATTTAGCTCTGCTGACTGGGAACTGGTTCTTCCCAGATATCATATCATCTACTGCCATAGAATGTAAGCTCCACAAAGACAGGGATTTTTGTCTTTGTTCACTCCAAATGCCTAGAATGTGCCGCATATGGTAGGCTACAGTGACATTGTTTTTGTTGTTGAATGAATGACTGTGAGGTGATGTTGGAAGAAGTTACAGTTTAGTTGGGGTAATACCTGCTACAGATGCAGCAAGTAGAGAACAGAACATTAAATAATAAAGAGAAACATGTGGGCAGAGAAGGGAAAGATCATTGTAGATGGAATCTCAAGGGAAGGCTTTGCAGAAAAGGTTTTAGCAATGATACAAATGTAAAGAAGGAAGAGTGATAAATATAGATGATACAGATGGAAAAGCAAAGAAAGAAAGTATATCATTAGTGAAGGGGAGGCACTGGAGATTGAGGAGATGGCTGGCTTCTAAATGTACTTTGGAGTAGCATTTGACTTACAGAAACTTTTATAATCATTACATCACCTTTATTTCTATCTTTACAAGAGCACTGAAATGCACTAAGAGACTCGTTTATGATCGTACAGCTACTAAATGATAAACCTGGTGGTTGCACCCAAGTCTTTTCACTCTGGTGTCCTAAGTCTTTTCACTAAGAGGGCTGATTTGGATCACTTAAAGAAGGAATGCAGACAGAACCAGAGGTCACTCCACTGTGGTTTTGGTGCCGTCTACACAGTTTTCTTGTTTTAAATAACATTGCTTTGCCTTTCAAACCAGTATAAAACTGCTATTTTCTGTACCTTCTGTTCCCCTCCCTTAAAGAACTGCAGGATAGAGAGAAGGACGGAGGAAGCAATAGCCTTGGCTACTGCTATTGATGATCCTCTCCTAACCCTCTCCACAATCAGTGGGTTCTCCAAATCAGTGGTTCCTATGTGTCCATTTGTTATCCGTTTTAGTTACCTTTTTAAAAAGTACAGATTCTAAGGCCCAGCCCTCTAAAATTCTGTTTCTGTGACTCTAGGTTGTCTGTCATCCAGGAATTTATGAGTATATTTGAGCCTCCGTAACCGATTCTAATGCCCAACATAGTTCTGGAATCACTTTTCAATACTGTTATGGGAAATCCAGTCCAGTCGGATATGTCGAATAGTCTCGTGTGTAGTAGTTTAGCCATGTGTAATAAATAATTCCCCACTCCAGACGGGTCCCTGCCACCTGGTCAAATATAGACCATCCTAACTTGGGAATTTGGCATGGTTCTAAGGTTTGTGTCTAAATCAATCATATAGAAAATGCTTTTGGTAGAGTTGATGTTTAAAATTGCATTTAGAATATGACCATGATATAAAATGACCAAAATGGTTTGATTTTATTGTTCATTGCCCTTGATTATCATCACAGGCTAAGGCAAAGTCTTTTAGACTCTTGTTTGACATGCCTTGAATTCTGAAACAGATAAAGCTAGGGGATTTAGTGAATGAGAGAGTAGGCACAGAGAGAAATAAGC